CAACGAAAGAAGAGGCGGTGCGGCTCTTTTTTACGCTCCAGGTTGAAGTATTTACGGGAATGCGCCGGTCACGGTCGGTCATCAGTGCAAGGTACCGTGCGAAGTTCGGCTGCCATGTCCAAGCGTAGCGGTCAATGGCGGCCTGAGGGAACTTAGTCGTAACGGAAAAAGCTAAAGTCGGTTATTTGAGAGAAAAAAGGATCCTACGGGCCACGATGGAAGTCAGATCAGTGTGGGTATAGGCTGCGTATTATTAACGTTGCGGGCAGCCGTTAACGTAGCGCTTCCAGCGTACGCCAGCGGCAGTGCCGGGGAGAGGATGGATATCGATCTAAATCTAGCGCTCCCAGCGTCACCAGCGTAACGCTAGCGTACGCCAGCGTTTCTCCAGCGTTTCACCAGCGTTTTGCTGGCGTTTGCAGCGGCAGGGAGTAGAGACTATGTGGCCGTAAGAGACGCGCAATCGTTGTGTATTGTAGAGACTATGTGGCCGTCAGAGACGCGGAATCGATGTGTATTGTAGAGACTATGTGGCCGTCAGAGACGCAGAATCGATGTGTATTGTAGAGACTATGTGGCCGTCGGAGACGCAGAAGCGATGTGTATTGTAGAGACTAAGGGCGAGTGAGAGACGCGCAATCGATGTGTATAGTAGAGACTATGTGGCCGTCGGAGACGCAGAAGCGATGTGTATTGTAGAGACTAAGGGCGAGTGAGAGACGCGCAATCGATGTGTTTTGTACCCTCCAGCTCTCCCATAGTCTCTACTCCCCTGCCGCTGCAAACGCTAGCAAAACGCTGGTGAAACGCTGGAGAAACGCTGGCGTAACGCTAGCGTGACGCTGGTGACGCTGGGAACGCTAGATCGATATGCATCCTCTCCCCAGCACTGCCGCTGGCGTACGCTGGAAGCGCTACGCTACGCTGCCGCAAAGTATAAACGGAAGCCTTATGGTGGCCATAGAGTGCTACTCAGGAACTAGACAGAGGATTGATGTAGTTCAAAAGACACAGTCGTTAGTCTACCGTTTTCATAGGAGGGGGGAGGTCATGACAAGTACACTGCCACTGATGCGCGGTGTCGTGTCCATGCGTGGCATGTCTCAGGTTAGACAACTCGTCCGGATGACTGAAATAATGTTACGCAACATTAGATT